AAAAATTGCTTTGTCACGTATATAAACCTACCTCGGCCGTTATCTGAATGGCATGAAGGATGCCAGCCTGTGGTTGGTGGACATGGTCCTTCTTCCCCTCACGGTAGACCTCGCCGTTCTAGAGCACAGCGTCTGGACTGCAGATCGTTGTCCTATTCCTGATGCTGCAGCGCCATGAGGCACGGTCAACGTTCTCGTTCTAAAAAAGATGAATGTTGTGTATAGTGCTTTCTTCTTCAACTATAATGATTGCATAAAGGATCCACGCACAGCCATACAACATATAATAAGTTAGGGAGTGCTGTTTCCCATGTTTCATTCAATAATAGTTTTAAACAGCTAATTGTAACAGTATTATAGTGCATAACGTTTAAAATACAGAAACTATTTATTGTTTGGTGATTACCTTCATTGTGTAGGAAAACCCACGGTTATCCACCAGCTTCCCTCTGCACGTTCCCTGGTCTACCTTGTGCTAAATGATGGTGTCGTCATCTGCTATCCATGTGAACTGGCAAGAAAGAATCCTGGTGTGGCCTTGGAAGGAGTAGGAGCTCATATACTCAGGCCATACTATGTTATGTGTTTCTCTTATAATAATCAACATGTATACTGTATTGAGTTGTTTCGTTGGTTATTCATCGTAGGGCAACATTGAGGGTGACAACCTGACTTTTCTTTTTTCAACTATTCAGTGTTTTTTGTTTACATGCCATGTCCTGTTTGTTCGGTTAAATATATTGTAATAAGGTTTGACAATTTCAATTGCTGGTTTGAACATTATAATTTATTCATGAAATTCCGGGTACATATTTGCTATTCTACTTCATGTTTGTGTTACATATTTGATAATGGATAATTATTTTATGTGTCATAGAATAGCGATCGGTACCTTTTATTCTAAGGTCTACGGAAGATAATAATAATAATAATAATAATAATGATATACAACCTTTGATATAGCGCCCTATCTAGCTAACATAAGCCACTCTAAAGCGCTTATGTTTTAGAGTGACCTCTAAGATGTGTGATGAAGTCATTTATAACTTTTTGTTTTGGTGTAAAATTCTTGGTTAAAACTACTTCATCAATTGCATAGCTATCTTTTTTTGGTTGATTATTGTTTCCGAAATTTCGAGTTTTCAATGATTTTGTTAATGCTATTACTACAGCATATGGATGTTGAGTCCAATCCTGGTCCGAGACATATTAGATGAATACGACATTGTGTGTCTAACCGAAACTTATTTAGATGATGTATTGATGGTTTTCATTCTCCCTTTCGACTTGATAGACATGTTGCTGGGGTGGTATTTTGGTTTATATAAATATTCTTTTGAAAGTTGAAAAGCTCTATCCTACCGTTTTGGGAAAAATTAAGGTAATATGGAAAAAGATTGCCTACCCCACTCGACTTACATTATTGGAACAGCTTATAGACCAGAAAGCTCTATCCTACCGTTTTGGGAAAAATTAAGGTCATCTATAAATAATGCTCTTGATATCTCTCCTAATGTTATAGTAACAGGTGACTTAAATGTTGACTTCTTCACTGCTTCAAGTAATCACATTCTTTTGACATCATTAACTCCTTATCACTAACTAATGTTATAAAAGATCCTACTGTTCTTCTGTCGGTCTAATTGAGACAGGGTTTTCGCAAGGCTCTATTCTTGGCCCACTTATATTTCTTATATTTATTAATGACATAGCAGATAATTTTGAATCAACGTCTCGTCTTTTTGCTGACGATACATCATTACTTAAGTCATCTTTATCTTGTCTAGAAATTCAAGAAACTTTAAATAGAGACCTAGAGATCTTAAATACTTGGTCAAAAACCTGGTTGGTTAATATTAATCCTGAAAAAACAGATGTATTGTTTATTTCGAATTCAATTGATATCGAAGAAGAATTAGATTTAGAATTTGATGGAAAAGTCTGAAACTTTACAGATTATCATAAACATTTAGGGGTAACTTTTAATTCGAAAGCAAAATCGCAGAAAACGGAGGAAACTTCAACTATTGTATAAGATGCATAATAAATTAACTCCTGATTACATCAATCATCTTTCGCCGCCTTAATCTGGAGAAAATAATCGTTACGCTTTACGTAACAATAATAACTATAGGATTCCTCCTTTCAGATTATCTCTTACTAACTCTTCTTTTCTACCTTCTACTCTTCACTATTGGAATAACTTGGAAAATTCGGTTCGATCCCTACCCTCTATTTATACATTCAAATCCTGTTTAACATCAAATATTCAGTCAAGTCCACCTATTTACTTTAAAATCATAAATCGTAAACTTAATATTTTGCATACTAAGCTACGACACCGGTGCAGTTCCCTTAATGATGACCTTTTTAGTTAACCTTGTTGAGAGTGCATCTTTATGGAATGTCACCTTTTTAAAAACGAAAGACATATTTTGGTTCAAAATTTGATTAATTTGAATGTTGCGTTAAATTTAGAAATTCTTTTGTTTGGCAATTTACAATTTTCCGTGGACCTTAACTCAAACATTTTTAGATCTGTGAAAAACTTTATTAAATCCAGCAAGAGATTTTGAGTTCAAATTGTAACAACAATTGTATATATGTATTGACATTATTGTAATGTCATTAAAAATGAATATTGGGAGAAGGCGTTGATAAGTTGTTATAACTTGTGCCTAATCTCTTGTCTTATTTTGGCAATAATAATGTTTAAAATAAATTATGAAAATACCTCAATTGCAAAATCTGTTCAAAATTATATCAGCAAATGCAATCGGATAGGCTGAATGTGATCATCTTTCTCTCTCTCTCTATCACTCTTTTTTCTCCGACTCTACCTGTGTTACTATCCTTTACTTCGTTTCTCTTGCCGTCTTTTCTTTCTCTCTATTTTCTATTTCCATATAAAAACATAATTTACATATATTGCGTAAATAACCTTATCAGGTTATTGTTTATATTCATGTATTTGAAGAAAAGGACTGTGATAAGTTGTGAAAACTTGTGTCCAATTCTTTTGTAAATATTAAATTGCAATAAAATGTGTTTAAATATAAATCTATCTGTCAAAATGTCTAAGTCTATATCTGGTGTCGGGGCCAGAGGAAACTCGTGCTACCGTAAATGTTACATTTAAAAATCAGACAAACCGTTTGTTCCAAATATCGGAGATTCTACACTGTTGTTGGTTCGTTATTTTATCCATTGTTATTATTAAATTAGAAAAAATCCGTAAAGTGTTTTTTTCTGAAAAGATTTACCAAGCGTTAGTCATACCGGTATAACAGGTTTCCGGCAACGGTACAGGGTTCCTTAACGATGTCTTATCTATCATGAATACACTATATATTTTTTTATAGCATACCTGGTAAGTATGTATCAAGTATATTAGCGATAGCTATGTGATAAACGGTATCTTGGACCTGTTATCAATTGCCATTTGATTTAAGCTATCATAGATAGGTTATGACTATAGTTATGATCTGAACTGTTTACTATCAGCAGGGGCCAAGTAATTTCAAGAAACCCTGATAACGTGTAGCGTAATCGAGTCTGGATTGCAAACACCCGTGAAGTAGATATCACTACTATTTTTAAAATTCGTTACTTTAATTTAGGTCATCACCTTCAGTTAAGAGTCACAAAACTATAGATACAATTTCAAACAATTCTCAATAATAGCGATTTGTAAATAGGTTTTATGTTTGTATTTCACCATGGTATAGGTGCATGCACGTATCAATTATATATATGCGACACGGAAAAAACGTACATTGTTTGCGTACGAAGGAAAACTTTGATATTTCGTATACAAACTACGGTAACACCTTTGTTTGTTTTTTTGAGAATCTCAAAACATACACGTACAGTAAGTACACAGTAGTTTACATACAAGATACAAGATACAAGAATTTTTATTTAGAGTCGTGTTTGTAACAATGCAACTTTAGCTCAGAAGAGCTATTCTTACGACTATATATAACAATCAAGATTAATAGAAACAATAAAATATCACAAAGGTAGCATGCATCACAGATGGTTGAATAAAAGGTAAAATAGCACGGTAATTAAAGGTCATGCGAACATAAAGCTCATGCAGCATATAAATTAATTTAAGTTAAGAAACATTTCAGTCTAATGAATATATATGCCAATATGGCAAAAACTAAAAATTGACAGAATACATGCTAATATAGCATAATCTAAAAACAACAATGCATACATTTATGAAGCAATATTTAGGAATTTACAGCATTAAAAGAGGATTACACAAAAGAAAGTAAAGCATCACTATAAGAACTAAAACTTGTGCATGACAAATATTTCTGGAGCAATAAAAACGCAAAATCTAGAACCAAAACTCAATCCTTCATCTTTGTACAGATGGAACATGATTGCTTTTAGATATTGAACTTCAAATTCGATACGTATCGGTATAAAACATCAATAAGAAAATATATGCGAGTAATTTAAAAAAAGCATCTACCGATATTGATACAGATATGTATTTTATATTTTCTTTAATCCAAACTGAGAATAAGCAAGTGTGTATGTCATAAAATGTACTTTAAGTCTTTCAAATACAGAACATTAATTAAAAGTTGTAGTGCATGCAGTTCATTGCAGTAAAATCTCATTAACCATTAATATGACCACTGTGCATGGGTAAACTATTTTATAATATCTTGATAACAAAATATTTAAATTTGAGTTATATCTATTTGTTTTATTTATTCTAACTGGATAAGGAGATGATCTGGAAAGCCTCATAAAGAGGCTGATGCATACTATTCCATATGGATATCACATGAATGTCACTGAAAAGAACAAATACAAATAGTTTAAAGCGAAAATTAACCTTAATTTGACCTGAAAATGATGCACTGTTCAAGGCCATAAGAACTCGAGAAAGTCTAGGTACGTTAGTGCTTACTGTGCAAAATACTATTTAGCCCTATTTGAGGGCTGCCCTGTTGGAGCCTCAAACTAACAAAAAATCGAGGTCATGGCTGCGTTTTGCGACAGGGACTTAAACACGTAGAAACTGGGTCAGATAATAACGCTGTTTCGTGTGTTTACAGTTTTTTAGGACACCCAGGTGAAAATACGGCGGAGAGACATCTCTTAAGGAGGGTGTTTCCACGGTAAACGTCATGGCAACTATTCGAATTTTGCAACAAGGAATACGAAAATCCGCGGTAGCTGGGTATCGAGGGCGTATTCATCCGATTGCTGGTGTTGCTCTAAACAAGGATTGGAACTCCTCGTTCGCGACAAGGACATTTACGACATCGTCGAATAATGGACAACAACGGTATCACAACTGGAGGGAATCGGCTGCTTTATTGGGTACAGCAGCTGGGCTTGTTGGTAGGTGTTTTTCCAATTGACACGTAACGTACGCTTGTGTCATCTGAGGATAATGGGGGGGGGGGGGGGGGGGGNGGGAGTACGCACGTGTAGTTAGGTGATTTACATGTCTTGCACGTGCATGTTTACAGAGTGTAGGGGTTTAGATAAACTTGTTGGGGGAGGGAATGGGGAGGGCGGTATGTGGTAGGGGAGAAAACCATGGGAGATACAGCGCATTGGTGAGGATGAAAAATGGTTCGGAGGTCAGGTTTTGAAGTTAGTCATACATTATACAGCCGCTACTTTAGAATCTGAATGACATCCGTAAATGGTTTTCTGTTGTAGTTGACAGGCTGAGGCTATTAATGTTCCATGTGGATAGGTTTTAACTGTACATAGGATTACTGTCACCTTCTAGCTTCACACTAGAGGGAATTTCCCTTTGGCTCAGTGGTAGAGTGTCCGACTAGGAAGTTTGGGGTCGCTGGTTCTATCCCCGGTGGAAGAACATAACTCTTTCCTGTTACCAAGGTGTAGCAACCTACAGTACAATTGCTTTTAAACTGTAACATGTCAAGTTGATTGTGTAGTCCATGGCAGAGTGACTTGCTGGCCAGGGCATCCATCTATTTGTATTGAATGCTAGTCATTTCGGTAACAAATCGTTGCGGGAGTCCAGAAGTCGTTTCAGGACATGACACAAGATTTTTCGGGACTTTAAATCAAGTCGTTTCGGGACATATAAAATTTTCATTTATAAATTACATTTCGCTCCCGATTCATAAAAAGTCCTGTTTCATAAAAAGTCCTGTAAATAAACAAGTATGGTTTTAGACTATGACCTGAGTCACGACTTACCCATGCTTAGGATCATTAGTGTTACCAGATTGCTAGAGCTTGAGGGGATACCTACCAACATTTACCCGATTGACAGTGTGTCGTTACCTGGTGAAACTAATCTCATTATTAAATACAGATCTAGAGGAACTTATGAAATTCAACATTCAATTTCTTTCGTTATTGATAGGGTGATTCCTTGTTTGATGTTGTAATGATATGTTTTCAATTCACTATATATTCTCCATTATTGACATTAAGAGACGAATGAGTTAACCATGATTCGAACGATGTTTTAAGCATTTTATTTTTGCTATATTGAAATTAAATTTCATGAAAGTAAAAACGTGAAACACATAGACTATATTTTCGACAAATGAATCAATTCATCGCATCCAGCAATGTAGTTTGAACGATGTTTTTATGTTGTGTATTTAGGTCAGTGAGAATATTATATATATTTTATTTTATTCATGTTTTATTAAAATCATGTAATGGTAAATGTATAAATGTATGATGGGAGAAGGCTATGATAAGTTGTAATAACTTTTATCCAATCGATTGTTTAAACTTACGACTTTTGACATGTCCTGAAACAACCCGGAAAAAGTCCCGTAACAACTTTTGTCTTGTTACTGAAACAACTTGTTACTGAAACAACTTGTTACCGAAACGACCTGACACCTTTGTATTAAGCTGTGATAAGGTAGCTTCTGACGAAAAGACAATTCTATGCATTGCTTCATAGGAGACTAGATATTAGGCCAGACAAAAATATATATATATATGCATTTCCTGTAACATGTTAGAAACATTTAGGGTAGGTAGGTAGGTAACAAATTCTGTTCTCTGAAAAAAATGCTGGTTAAAAGTTAAGGAATCGCAAGCTACTATTGCCGGCAACCACCTTTTAATGAAGACACCGTATGTGGAGTTATTATATCGAAAACTTTAACGAAAATACAATGTTACGTAACAAGCATAATTTTACGATGACATGTAATATCAGTCTTCTCGACTAACAGGACTTCAACTGTTTACCTACTCTACAGATTCCGTTGGTGTCGAGTCTTTTATCAGCAAAGCTCCTTGTACTTGAATAGAAAAAAACATGTGAACAGTTCAGCTGTTATAGCAGTGATAGGTTTTACCAAAGTGGGGTTGACTTCAGGGATTTATTTGGTTAGTGTTACATATAAGGAGTATAAAACAAATTCAATACAATTTGTGGTCACTTGCTGTTATTTCACTTGTATTAATTAATATTGTGAAAACATTACCACTGTTGCTAGTACATACTGTTGTACTATGCTCAAAAGTGTATGTTTATGATCGATTTATTGAACGAAGGTTAACGATGATATGTCGGGTGTACTGCAGCAATTTTTCACTTGTTTGCTACAAATATGAATTAGCATATGACCACTTCTGCATAAGACTGATATAATATGCTACAAAGTGCGTGTTTAAACTGATATATTTATGAAATAAAGATTGATAACTTTTAAATATCCTATGTTTTTTCATGAGGCTGTTCAAAACTTGATAAGCTTACAAATGCATGAAATTTAAAATAAAGTGCAATTTTTGAGAAGTGTTTGTAAACTTGTATTTTTCTGGTTGATATGGTTAATTCTGAATCTCTATGTGTATTTTAAAGTTTTTTAATTTCAATCTTTATCTAAAACACTATATCAATTTTTTAGTCTATTATGATTATGCTAACCAGGCTTAGAAAACTGGAGCCTTGACCTTTATTTACATTACATGGTATATTCTGATGTACATGTATGCATGTACAGATACATGTATACACCCCGAGTGCAGGGTCCCCATTAGTCTGATATCTCTAAATGTAATGTCAAATGTTTTAATTATTTCCATATATAATTATATGACATGTTTATTTCTTGTCTTCTTTTTTTCTTTAAAATTCACTTTTGTAATTTCCATGGGATAGATTCAGCATGCTCAAAATTAAAACATAAATAAAATTTGTGTAGAGGCTAGAGAAAAAATAACACTTTAAAATGGCATATTTTGAGTTGTTCTTTCTAATGAAATCAGTTAACCAAATTCCCTGATGGTAAACACTAAATGTAAGGGTCCAAACTTGGGAGTCTCCCTCCTAAATATGTTGGCAAATATGGCTTAAGGATCCCTGTCCGACTGTGCTGTGTTTTTTCCTATGTGCATTAAATGTGATATTTTTATCCTTTTTGTTTACACATGAGGTTGTTTGAGCGGGATCAGACAAAATTTCCCTAATATCATAAATCCGTTCCATGCCGTAAAATTTCCAATTCATTGTGTCCACGCAGTAAAATTCCCGATATTAAAGGCAACAGCCTTTTTAGAAAAATAAGTAAAAAAATCGCTGATAAATCTCCCCTTGATTGGGCCAGGACACTTAGGTTTAGGTAGCTCAATCGGCTATAATTAGAGCAAAGGTTCAGAAATCTGAAATTCAAAGTTCAAATCTCTAAACATTGTTGTTGATGATATTTTTTTATTTCTACTTAAAAGTCCCACAAGGTGTTTTCATTTCAAAAATGATTTATCAAAGCCATATGTTCATGCCGGAAAGAACAATTTCCAATATTTCTCTACACTTTTTGGTAAAGGGATCCTTTATTAACAGTTTAACACAACTACTGCAATAAACATACAAAAATATACCAGGCTTAACAGTTTACAAAGAGTAATTTCCTAGTACTTTCACCTCATTAGAGGTTCATCAGGAGATCTGTTAACCATCACAAGGACTTTAGATGATTTTTTTATAAATTCAAATTCTCCCATTTCCTAGTTAGAAGTGTATTGTTTCTTAAGTGAAAAAACTCTTGAGCTAAACTTTAAAAATCTTATCCCAGTCAGTTCGGCTAGTAGTTTCCATGGCTAGTAGTTTCCAATTTGACTAGTCCTTGTGCATATTCCACAAACCAAATATTATTGAGGGACTTGCCAGGCATTTTGGGAAAGGGCCCCTGCGCAGGATTTGGGAAAATATCATTAGCGTTTGGCAAAAATTGTATTTTGAATGCTCCATCATGGATTGTAATACTTTGAAAGTTGCACATATATAACAACTGGAAACTTGTATAAACATGTTTTTAGTCCGATCGGGAAAATAAACACAGAAATTGGGGAAATGCAGGGTCATTTTTCATTTGGGAATGGGTCCCCGTACCTTACCCTATAAACACCTGACACAAATCCTGTTATTCAACATGATAGTAATATCAAATTATGACTTGTCAACTGGGTTATAGTACTATCAGGATACCCTTATTGTCTAGCCCTGTTAACCCTGGAGTTGAGATTTCTAAATCAACCTCATACAGGAGTATTAGATTCTTGTATTATTCTAGTCAATATAACACACATCTGCCAAATCCATGAAACAAGTTCGCTCAGTGAAAGTGGGAAATTTGTTAAATTCAATAATTTTACAATATGTACATGGGTATTACTCCAGCAATCCAATTTCTGTCAGCAATAAATTGATTGCTGATCAATTATCAACTGATCATTGATTATAATTAGTCCTCTAAATGCCTAGCTACACTAGCACATCCATGTATATTTACAGTCACAATTTGTGTGTGGATTACCTCCCCTGTCACATTCAGATGAAACCACACCTGTATAATCCACTATATACACCTAGCGCATGCTCCCTATAAATACCCTACACCACGTGACATCCACCTAGCGTGTGCTCCCTATAAATACCCTACACCACGTGACATCCACCCGACACGCCCTCACCTGAATACTTACGGAAACAACCGAAGTTAATTTCATTTATCAAGTGGTTTCAGATCATTAATCGAAATGGAGGAAAATTAAATCATTGAATTGCAAAACTCAGAAATTAATGAGAATTTTCAAATGACTTGTTCAGATGTGAATTAAATGGAATGCATTACTGGTATGTGTATGTATTACCTTTAAAAATGAAAGAAAAATATAAGTTCCTATAATTATTGAACGTATGCATATTAAGAAATTTTCTTTAATACATGTTATTTGGAAAAGGGGGCTTACTTTCACTCAAGAATGAATTTGTTAAGTGTATCTAAAAAGAGGTTTGTATGTTGGATACAAAACTATTAAGTCACTAGCTATACTAATGAAATTGTATTATATTTATCATTGTAGGTCTGACATTAATAGCCAAATCCAAAAATGACTCTCATCTTGCCGCATCATCCGAGGAGCGTGAACCAGGATCTATCGTTCCCGACTTACCTACCTACACTTTATCAGACGTCAGTAAGCGTAAGACAAAAGAAACAAGAATCTGGATGACCTACAAAAATGGAGTTTATGACGTGACAGATTTCGTATCGAACCACCCAGGGGGGAGTAAGATTCTTTTAGCCGCTGGTGGTGCCATGGACCCTTTCTGGAGCATGTACGCTGTACACAAAAACAAAGAAGTGTTTGAAATGCTTGAAGAACTTCGTATCGGCAATATTACAGAAGTCCCCGAAGAGGAGGAGCGTGATGCAAGCAATCCGTACGCAAATGATCCTAAACGACACCCCGCCTTGAAGCCAAGTTCATCAACCCCTTTCAATGCTGAACCTCCTCTCCAGCTCCTCCCTGACAACTTCCTCACGCCGAATGACCTGTTTTTTGTACGTAACCACCTTCCTGTTCCAGACGTGGATCCAAAGACGTACAAGCTAGAAGTTGGAATTGATGGAGCATCTCGAACAAAGAGTTTAAACCTCAGTGAGTTGAAGAATCGCTTTCAGAAGAAATCTGTAGCCTCCATTGTACAATGTGCTGGAAACAGACGGAGCGAAATGGTCAAGATCAAACCTGTGAAGGGATTAAACTGGGGTGCAGCTGCCATTAGTAACGCAGAATGGTCCGGGGTATGTCTTGACGATTTGTTGAAGTATTCCGGGATTGATATAGACTATGTTGATTGCGATCACATCATTTTTGACGGTTTGGATCAGGACCCAACAGGCTCAAAATACGGAGCATCAATCCCGATCGAACTTGCTCGACGCCTCAAGAGGGACATTATTATTGCTTATGAAATGAATGGAGAGGACATTCCCCGGGACCACGGCTATCCCGTGCGAGTCATTCTTCCCGGAATCGTAGGAGCAAGACAGGTTAAATGGTTGCACAAAATATTACTGTCAAAAAAGGAAAGTGATTGCCATTGGCAACAGAAAGATTACAAAGGATTCCACGCATCCATTGATTGGCATAACGTTGATTTCAGTACGGTTCCCGCCATTCAGGAGCTTCCTGTCAACAGTGCCATCTGCGAGCCGGTAAATGGAACAAGTCTAGAAGAAGGTGCAAACGAAGTAACGGTCAAAGGTTACGCATGGAGCGGAGGCGGTCGTGGCATCGTCAGAGTAGACGTGACAACAGATGGAGGAAAGACCTGGCATTCTGCAGAGCTGAAACAACCGGACCAGCCATTGTACAAGACATATGCATGGACGCTATGGGAAACGACCATTCCATTGCCTGCAGACACAAGGGATGTGGAAATAAGATGCAAGGCTGTTGACTCCTCTTACAATGTACAGCCCGACAATGTTGATGGAATCTGGAACCTGAGGGGTGTCCTTAGTAACGCTTGGTTCAAGGTCGATGTCAAGGTCCCAGGCGAGGAACCTCAGGCAAAGAAAAAGTCATCTTGGTGGTAAACATCTGGAATAAACTGTGAAGGTAAACCATAGAGGTAAAACCACAGAGGTCAAACTATAGAGGTCAAATTACACAGATGTCTAGCCATAGTGGTAAACAATAGAGGTCAAACTATAGAGGTCAAATCACACAGATGTCTAGCCATAGTGATAAAAACATAAAGGTCAAACTATAGAGGTCAAATCACACAGATGTCTAGCCATAGTGATAAAACCATAGAGGTCAAACTTAAGAGGTCAAATCACAGATATCTAGCCATAGTGATAAAACCATAGAGGTCAAACCATAGAGGTCAAATCACAGATGTCATATAATACAAGTCTAATTACCATAGAGTTCAAATAAAGTCAAAACAGTCTAGTCTTATGGGTTAAATTAAATCATGAAGGTCAGATCATACAGTTCAAGCTATGGTGGTAAAATTCAGGATAAAGGTCACGGAAAAGAATTAAAACCAAAAGGTTAAACATGTACATAGAGGTCAAACTAGATGTCAGTTTGACCAACATGGCTGATCTATACAGGTTAACCAAGATGGTCAAACCAAACAGGTCGTGCCTTGTAGGTCAAACTACAGTCAAACCATCCGGTCGGGCCATGTAGGTCAAACTACAGTCAAACCAAACAGGTCGGGACATGTAGTTCAAACTACGGTCAAACCATCCAGTCGGGCTATGTAGGTCAAATTACGGTCAAACCAAACAGGTTGGGCTATGTAGGTCAAACTACAGTCAAACCAAACAGGTCAGGCTATGTAGGTCAAGCTACAGTCAAACCCAACAGGTCAGGTCATGTAGGTCAAACTTCAGTCAAACCCAACAGGTCAGGTCATGTAGGTCAAACTACAGTCAAACCTAACAGGTCGAGTACAGTTATAAACGAAGCCATATGCAGGCATTTCCAGGTCAACTCAAAAGGTCACATAGTTAAATACAGTATGGTAGATAATTACTGTAAACAAGAATCATTGAGGATAAATTTATTTGGGATTTGGAATTTCATTGACCAGTTTTAAAAATTGTTATCTAGATAATGACATTTTTTGTTTTTTTTATACAATATTATGTATCTAAAATGTACATGTATTTTCGTAATCATTTTTTTAAAAAAATGTATTTTTTTTAGTATATATTTGTTTCCCTCAGTAAAACCTCTGGTAATTCCCTTTGATGGTTTAAACCTTCCTGTTGGTTGTGTTAAATGTCACAGCTTTTACAGGGTTTTTTCAGGTCTTACATCTAGAAAATGTTCTACTTTAAATTAAGGATCCCTCTCCCACTGCACTGTGGTTGTTTGTAAATACTGCAACCTCCCCTTAATTTCGTTTTAGATATACAACTGTAGCCCAGTTTGGCCAGAGCACTTCCATTGACATTGTAGCACAAGCGGTTAGAGTAATAGTTTTATTATTATCAAAGCTATAGTCATGCCTGTAAAAGCAGTTTCCAAGGAGTTGTTAAAATTGTTCGCAGTGGTACAGGGATCCTTAACCCTTTCACCCCTATGTTACTTCAGTAGATTCTACCATGCATTGATATGGATGAGTACATTATGGTCTATAGTGGTGAAAGGGTTAAGTAATGTTCCTCTTTAAATTAAAGTCATACACTTTTTAAGCACCCTTCAAAAGAGGGAACGTATAATGTTATCATGTAAGTGTCGGGTGGATGAGCACACACTGTGTTCACTGATATTTCAAGTAATTTTCAATGGATTAACTTGAAACTGCATAGGCAGGTTGATAACTGCCAAAGCTCAAACAAATTCGATAACCACCAGTATTTGACTATAATTGACAGTGTTATGTCACTTTGTTCAGTTGCTGAAACAGTGTCAGCTCGATATCTCGAGTAATTTTCAACGTATTACTTTCAAACCTTATAGGAAGGTAAATTACCATGAAAGCTCGGCCAAGTTGGATAACCCACCATTATGTCTGTAACTTTCCTGAGTTATGGCCGTTTATTCAATTGCTGAAACAGTGTATGGTCTATAACTCACTTATTTTCAATAGATTAACTTCAAACTTCCTAAGCCAGGACAATCGCTATTGTCTTATCATACATAATTATTGGAGTTACACCCCCTGAATCAGTGCAGCGAGTGTAATCACAATTATCTGACCATAATTAATAGAGTTATTCCCCTTGGTTTCATTAATGTAATACAACATGCATTCCAAGATGTTTTATTGCACTCAATGATCTACCAGGTATGTTGAATTATAGCTCCTTTAACATCAATTACTCACAAGTATTCCATATATTTCAACAATGCAAACAGCTGCTCATTCAACATGTGATGGACGTGTAATTGTCGTTGTAACCTAGTTAATCAAGCTACCTGTGTTTAAATTATAGATTTTACTTGTTGCCATAATATTTTTTTTCATTTCAGGGTCAATATCAAAGCCACACATGGCATACTTGCAGAATTCTGTGAATGGCCTGACTGAAGACATCTGCACCTTCTAAAATTTAAACTTTGTTGGAGATAATTGATGATAGAATACTGGTCCAGAGGAATCATGTGATTGGCTGTTGTCTTGTGATATTTTCATAACAATTCAACACATAGCTTATTATCATGTCACTGTTATTCCGTTAATGTCACTTTCTTTTCTTTATATGGGTGTATAATAGCCAACCAATTTTTTCAAAGATATATATTATTTTATATAAATGGTATAGTGGTACTTTTTTTAAAAGAACAGTATTTCACTAATGTAAGCTGAAAGCTGAAAATCGGTTATGGAATGGAAGAAAAATGTATCGGTATTGAGTAAAATTATTATCATAATTTTTTTTTTGATTTAACAGTTTTTTCATAAGGCAAATTGATTTGACAGAAAAAATGTCTGGTATAAAATTTGTAATTAATGCTGTCAGTATTTTCTCTACCTAATATTTAGCTATAGTGATTTTATTTTTATAAAGTAAAACTGTGGTGTAAGATTGAAGTGTGTTTGTAATGAAACAGTATTTTGATCATAAAATTAATGTGATTATTTTTTATTTTAACTATTTTGATTAAAATCGCACCGTGGTGTGAAACTTTTTATGAACAAATAGGTATAAATGTTAGTGACAAACATTTTTCCTACATTCTCATTGGTTGTATCATAATCATGTGGAGGTTGGCAAGTTTTTATATTGACTCACTGTTACTATTTTTAGAAAGAGTAGGTTAATATTCTCTTTGTGACATCATTTCATTTGTAACATCATAATACTTTCTGCCAAATGCAGTATTTTCCCAAGACAGTTTTCTTATACATTCTATCTTGTTTAATGATTTAAGAATTTTTCAGCATCCAATATAACAATTACTGGACTTTTTTCAGTGAATATGTGATTATATAGATCTTTTTCAGGTCCATATACATGTAACACATATTTACTTCAACAACAGTGTGTCATTGATAAATGGATTTCGTTGTTACAGCAAAGCTGTATCTATATGTAATTTAGTGAATATTCGTATCAAGTACTTTATATCACATAAGAGTTCAGGCTTGTTGGTGCCTTGAATGTTTGCTCTGAAGTTACATATAAATGTACGTTATAATTAAAAAATATGAAACCTTTTTGGAAAATACATATTTACGTTTATGTTATTCTATATGTACCCAGTAGGAATGTGTCCCCCCAAACATTGACGGTAAAAGCTTCACTATACTGCCAATATTTGTCAGAGGTTTTTTTGGCAGTATAAAGAAGTTTGCTGATACATGTATATGAAGGGAAACAAAACAGTTCAAAAAATGAAGGGGAAAAAGTGCCAGATGAAATAGATAGTGATATTCCGTCTTTGCGTATTGCAGAGTTATCTTCTCTTGGGAGCAGGTATTGATTGTTACGTCATTGGTTTGTGTGAGAAAATTACGTCGTTTTCTCAAAAATTGATGACGTTACTCTCAGGAACAAGTGATGTAACAATCAATATCTGCTCCTAAGAGAAGATAACTCTGCAATACGCAAAGACGGAATACTGAGGTTGTTACACTTTATTATGACACTGTGAAATTGCTAAATTTCGCAGGTATTTTGATTTCCTTAGTTTCATGGGTAATCTTCATCTGCAGTTTCATAGGCCTACGAAGTAATTACATGTTTGATATCAAGCAAATTTCTGTTTGAGTGGGTACTAGTAATCCACAAATTTATGTATTCATGGTAGGGTGTATTGTCAGGATTGTAAGTGTACTTGTATTAGCACATGATCAAATTTTAACTGATTGGCGCAGTGATGAATTAAGATCTGTGATTGAAAACATTATACAGGAACTCAAATACGATGTAGTCAGAATTTAGCGCAATATTTAAAAAGCATAAATAGTGCTAAAATAAAAGTACCGCTAAATATGTACGGTGACAGTACAATTGTCGTGTACTTCAAAATTTATTATTGTGTATTGTGACATGTTGCCAAAGTTTGAATTATGTTGTTGTACACATGTATACATGTGTATTACGGTATACAAATACTTATGAATTATAATAATCATGTTATTATTTTTTGTATTCAGATTTTGTTTGAATCTATAATGACACCAAGGTTATAAATCAGCAATATATAAAAAAAAAAACGACATTGACCAACAGGTTATTTAAACTTTTAAAGATAGAATACCTGAAAAAAATAAGTATATTTCTGTTTATTTAGTGATATATTTATATCTCCATGCTAATTGAATTGAAAAATTCCGAGAGATTTTAATAAATAAACAGTATTTTGATAAATTGATGTATAGAATTATTTAACTTGCATGTACATGTATCCAAGAATAATTTAATAATCAGCAAATGTAAAGGAATTCTAGATATATTTTTGCTAAATATAACATAACAATTGATTTATTTAAATACACATGTAGTGAATACTGGATCCAATGATGTTTTACGGATTTTAAGTAAAAATCAGGTGATTATACTAAATTTTTCAGGAAAAATTCAAAATTTAAAAGTACATGTATTATTTATGTGAAGATCAATCCCTGCGCTAATAATTGATAAAGTTAACTCGTAATTCATCAATAATTGTTGGACAAGAAATATTGTGAATGATGTTTGAATAAGAAACGATAAAGGTTGAAATACTCAGAATTTTAAATTATGCATTGTATATTTACATTGCCCTTTATTGTCACCAAGTAAATCTACCAATGCAAAGTCAGCTGTCAGTCTCATGTCCATTATACTAGAGTCACCGTAAAAATAACACAGGCTGTTCCATTTATTGAATATTGTTTATTTTAAATATGAAATCTTGGTATGAATTGATTTTCAAAATTAATAATAAAAAATACACATGTGCAATTGTAAGTATTGAAATTCATAAAATAACATTGAAAAAAGCTGGATGATAGATGCTGTTGGCTGTTCCATTTATTGGAAATCAGATAAATATGAGGAAAATTTTGGTTTGAATTGATTGTCAAAATTTACAAAACATGTAAGTTTTAAACTGCATTCTGTTCAGAATTACAGCATTATGGAAAAGAATACTGAATACTTTCACATGTATATCTGTACCGTTTCAAATGAGTTGTGTGTGAATTTCATTTTTTAATTCAATTTTGTTGCATTTTTAATGAATAATGTTGTTATATTCTTATACTTGTAAAGTGAAAATTGCTATGGAGGGAGAGGTTAACATTGTGGATATTTTTGTGCCAATTTATTCAATGCAAAAGCAAATCCTGCAATTCGACACCCCTATAACTTTCATTCTTGCAGTATATACAATAAAAAACAATGTGTGAAGTGTATAATTGTGTACGAGTTACAGGTTGTAATTTGTTAATTAGTTTTAGAGTTTATTTCGATCAAATACTAGTTACAGTCAAACTTCAATGTTTCAAACTTTGCAAAATATTTAGAGACATCAATACTTTGACTCACATGTGTGAGGATAAGGATGTAATTTGTAAGGTTTAGAATTTATTTGGGTCACACACTGGTACACGTGATCATTTGGTATTTTGGTGATCACGAGTTCAAATCAAATGGGTTGAAATGTTTGTGAAAAATGAACATACATTTGTTTCTGAAATGCATGCAGTTTTGAAAACAATACCTTTAATGATATATTTAAGCTTAGATTTGAGCACAATGATGTACAAATATCCTTTTGTTTTTATTAAAGTAGATGTTATGGATAGGCAAAATGATTAAAATTGTATGTATTAAGGTTTAAATTTTACCAATGTATATCATAAACATGTCGCAGCAATTCAAGATCACATGGTCCTTTTGTCAACCTTTGACCTTGTGAGTGATTTGTATTGTGTATAAAATAAAACTTTGATATTACATATTTCCAAACTGATGAATGTTATTGAAGATAGCGTAACACATCTGTTAAGAATTTAGTGATGACTGAAAGTACAGGGGCGACGGTGCCCAAGTGGTGAAGGTGTCTGACATTCTGCTACCACTAGTAGCCCTCCACCACTGGGTCGCAGGTTTGAGACCTATGTGGGGCAGTCGCCATTCACCAGGTACTAGCCGTTGGTTTGTGGTTTTTCTGCAGGAACTCCGGCAACTCTGGCTTTCCTCCACCACCAAAACCTGGCACATCCTTAAATGACCATAGCTGTTCAAACCAAATGAAAGTACATGTATGCTCACTCAACGCTTTTTCCCCCAATTGTAAAACCCGGGCCCAATTCCAAAAAAGGTTTTAATAAAAATTAACACTGTCATTTTTAAATTTTGGTTGTTATAAGTTCAAACCGGGAACAGATAACTGTAAATGTTTGACTAGTCTGGAGAAGCAGTTGTCTCCCCTTGATCAAAGATAATCATTGTTGAGATATCTAGCCATACCAGTGTGTTTGTACTTCTATCAGTCGGAGCTTTTGTATGGGGATGATAGCTCTGCATGATTTCTAGATATATGCGAAACCAAGCTATCTGAGTGCTCGCTGTTAACGTTTTCTTATCCACTACATGTAAATATTAAAGGGTGGAAAGTTGGACAAAAGGATTGGGGTGGGATTAAATAGGATGGAAAGTTTGACAAAGGATTGGGGTGGGATTAAATAGGATGGAAAGTTTGACAAAGGATTGGGGTGGGATTAAATAGGATGGAAAGTTGAACAAAAGGATTGGGGTGGGATAAATAGGATGGAAAGTTTGACAAAGGGATTGGGGTGGCTGGATTAGTTAGGATGAATAGTGGAAAATAATATTTTGTAGCTAGATTAAGAAGGATTGATTGTCGGACAAAACGCAAGTAGCTGGACAAAATAAGTGGTTCGATTAATTAGTATGGAAGTTGGACAAAAGGATTGCGATGGTTGGATTAATTAGGATGGATTGTGGGACAAAGTGATAAGTGGCTGTATTAATTAGGATGGATTGTGGGACAAAGTGATAAGTGGCTGTATTAGTTAGGGTGGATTACGGGACAAAGAGATTAGTGGCTGTATTAGTTAGGAAGGATTACGGGACAAAGGGGGTTAGTGGCTGTATTAGTTAGGATGGATTACGGGACAAAGGGATAAGTGGCTGTATTAGTTAGGATGGATTACGGGGCAAAGGGATAAGTGGCTGTAATAGTTAGGATGGATTACGGGACAAAGGGATAAGTGGCTGTAATAGTTAGGATGGATTACGGGACAAAGGGATTAGTGGCTGTTTTAGTTAGGATGGATTACGGGACAAAGGGATTAGTGACTGTATTAGTTAGAATGGATTACGGGACAAAGGTAATAGTGGCTGTATTAGTTAGGAAGGATTATGGGACAAAGGGATTGGTGGCTGTATTAGTTAGGATGGATTACTGGACAAAGGGATTAGTGGCTGTATTAGTTAGGATGGATTACTGGACGAAGGTATTAGTGGCTGTATTAGTTAGAATGGATTACGGGACAAAGGGATTAGTGACTGTATTAGTAGGATGGATTACTTGACGAAGGTAATAGTGGCTGTATTAGTTAGGAAGGATTACGGGACAAAGGGATTAGTGGCTGTATTAGTTAGGATGGATTACGGGACAAAGGGATAAGTGGCTGTATTAGTTAGGAAGGATTACTGGACAAAGGTATTAGTGGCTGTATTAGTTAGGATGGATTACGGGACAAAGGGATAAGTGGCTGTATTAGTTAGGATGGATTACTGGACAAAGGGATTAGTGGCTGTATTAGTTAGGATGGATTACTGGACGAAGGTATTAGTGGCTGTATTAGTTAGGAAGGATTACAGGATAAAGGTATTAGTGGCTGTATTAGTTAGGAAGGATTACGGGACAAAGGGATTAGTGGCTGTATTCGTTAGGATGGATTACGGGACAAAGGGATAAGTGGCTGTATTAGTTAGGATGGAATACGGGACAAAGGGATTAGTGGCTGTTTTAGTTAGGATGGATTACGGGACAAAGGGATTAGTGGCTGTATTTGTTAGGATGGATTACGGGACAAAGGGATAAGGGGCTGTATTAGTTAGGATGGATTACGGGACAAAGGGATAAGTGGCTGTATTAGTTAGGATGGATTACTGGACAAAGGGATTAGTGGCTGTATTAGTTAGGATGGAGTACGGGACAAAGGGATAAGTGGCTGTATTAGTTAGGATGGATTACGGGACAAAGGGATTGGTGGCTGTATTAGTTAGGATGGATTATGGGACAAAGGGATTAGTGGCTGTATTAGTTAGGATGGATTACGGGACAAAGAGATTAGTGACTGTATTAGTTAGAATGGATTACGGGACAAAGGGATAAATGGCTGTATTAGTTAGGAAGGATTACGGGACAAAGGGATTAGTGGCTGTATTAGTTAGGATGGATTACGGGACAAAAGGGTAAGTGGCTGTATTAGGATAGATTACGGGACAAAGGGATTAGTGGCTGTATTAGTGAGGATGAATTACGGGACAAAGGGATTAGTTAGGATGGATTACTGGATAAAGGGATTAGTGGCTTATTAGTTAGGATGAATTACTGGACAAAGTGATTAGTGGCTGTATAAGTTAGGATGAATAACGGGACAAAGGGATAAGTTGCTGTATTAGTTAGGATAGATTACGGGACAAAGGGATTCGTGGCTGTATTTGATTAGTGTTGGCCTGATATTCAAAGCCTAGATGAAGTCGGAAAACAAATATGTACATGTGGCCACTTCCTCCTCCCGCCTCAGCCTCTATAAAGATATGTATGTTTGTAGTTTAAAAATGCTTTCGTAAAAATGGGTTACTGGAGAAAATGTTTGTAGAGTTGCATTTAAAAAAAGACAGCCATAAGTTTCACTGTAAAAGCAAAGCTGCCATATATATATATAATATTTCTTCGTTCGTAAGGATCATTTTTCTGATTTATAATATATATATATATATACAGAATATGGTTTTAATATAGTGTATAAAAAAGTTTGATCAGACAGAGATAGAGTAACTTTGAATTAAGTATGAATGTGTGTTTGTGGAGTTTCTTAGTCAAAATAGTAAAAGCAAGCAAAACATGTGTTATTTTCATAAATTTATATTCATAGGAAGATTTTTTTTCTGGCTGGTTTACGAAGAACAATGTCGGTTGTCCTGTCAATCATAACAATATCATAATCAGTGTTACCTAGTAGGGGTGGGGGTGGGGGCAATGTTTTGCATCTTAAAAATGTATTCGTGGGGACCGGGTGGGTGGTGAATAGGACATCTAATGTTTACACCTCTCGTCGGTTTGTCTACCACCTGCTGAATGTCCAAGTCCGCTGATAGTTGCAGGTAGGACCGGTTAGTTGTTGCTGGTACCTGGCTACTTGTGATGGAATTATTACCCCAGTCAATAGCAGGTAAGTTGTAATCTCCACCTTCTGATGTGCTGACCTGAGTTGGGTTAGGTCAAACCACCACTTTCACATCGAACTTGTAATGTATATTATCAAAAGTTGTATCACCTGAAGGATTGTAAAATTAACTTGCCTATAGTAGCCACCGAACAAAAATCGGTTCAGTAATGAACAAGAATTACGCCAAGAGTCTTGGCACTTCAGTTATATCTTGTTAAAAAGACCAACAGTATTCAGGCAGGTTAGAATTGTTGTGATATTTACCGTTTCGAAGAGAGATTTGTTAATAAAAAAATTCTCGTGTTACCTGAAAGTCAATGTAATCTAACAAGTGCTTTATTGAAAAAAGTTCGTGACATGAAAGAAATTGAGATTGGTCCTTGCGTTTCAATAAATAAGAATGAGTAATGTGTGAATGGCACATACGGAGACGGGCAAGGACCACCTCGTCTATGCAGTTTTCTCTATAACTGCGATGACATTCACCTTTTTTGGGCTTTACATAGTATTCCAGGTGGTTCGCTCACTTTCGCTCTCTGCACCCTGGAATATGTCTTAGCATAATTGAAGGCACGAAGAAAGCTGTTTGATTGGTCACAGGTCAAAAACCTGCCTAATCGCTAGGCTGATACCTGTTCTTTGACGATTACAAAGAGACGCCCGACTTCAATGCCTGTCAATTTTTACTGTTACGCGACCGCGAGATTCTTTTGATGTTCATCAAATGATCGAACTAGTCTTCTTGTCTCATCAACAAGGTGGCGCACACTGAGCCTTCAATTTTGCTCTGACATATTCCAGGGGTGTAGAGAGCGAAAGTTAGCGTAACCCCTGGATATCGAGGATGCCACATCCCTGGAATATGTCATAGTAAAATGGAATTTCGTATCTGCGCCATCTTGTGGATAAGATAGGAAAAAATGTTAGCAGTTTGTTCGTTTGATGTATATTAATAGAATCTCGTGGTCGCCTAACGGTAAAATTGACTGGTTTTGAAGTCGGGTGAAGCTCCTCTGTCATCTTCAAAGGACAGGTATCAGCCTAGTGATTGTTCAGTTGCTTTACATGGAAGCAATCAAATAGCTAGCCGCGTGCATCCAATTTTGCTATGACATATTCTAAGGGTGCAGATAGATCAGGTGAGTTTAATCCCTGGAGTAGCCCGAGTGTCATCTGGCTCTGACACCAGACTAAGACATTTTGGACATTTTGAAAATTGACATCAGTCATCTTTCTGTCAAAATGTCTTAGTCTGGTGTCAGGAACAGATGAAACTCGGGCTACCCCCGGATTATCGAGGATGACGTCCCCGCAACAGATGACGACGTGTGTCTTAGGAGACGCAACTGAAAACATGAAAGATCGGATACATGGGAAAAGGAAAAAAACAGATCCCAAATACTGCAATGGGGATACATGAAGCAGATCAGCTTTGTCTGTACTGTGTTTCCAAGCGTTAGACACAGAAGAAAACTACCGATTCGGCAGGGGACCCCATATCAGATTGAATCCTGCGGTAACAGGCGGTGGATACCGCAGATGGTCCATTCTTTCTCTGGGTGTGCTGCTGGGGTAAATAACATAAATAACGGCATCCGTTGATATATTTCGCTAAAACACAGGTGCTCGGGTTCTGGAATATATGTGATATATTTAGGTATCGCACATCACTGAAATAATAAATAATTGGGTTCTAGAATATAAGGGGGTGCGATATCTAGTGGGGTGCAATACGTTAACAAGTAATGTTATACATGTATGTATATTTTCTAGAACCCAATTATTTTTATGACAGTGATGTGATACCTAATTATATCACATATTGTAACCTGATCACCTGTGCGCGGAAGCAGTGTTGCCACACCAGCGAGTATTTCAATTCTTTTGAAATGAAACAAAATGTAAAATATACACAAAACCAAACTTTACTCCGGAGAACAGACAACTGTTTTGTCTAAATGACAAGCATTCCATTAAAGGTGGTCAAATGTTCTGCTCGCACATGGGTACCATATACTTCCTTGACCCAAACCTTATCTCCGACATCAAGGGGGATGATTACCATGCATGAGCCCGATGCGTAGTGCGTTGAAACACATGCGCACTGGGTCAGTCCATTCTTCTGTAATTGCGCATGCACACCGTCGTCCCCATTGACAGTCACCGAGGCGAAGAGCATATAAATACCGTTTCTAGGGGCTATGAAAACGCCTGTTGTCGGCGAGTACCCGTTTCCCTCATTGGTTTTCACTGCGTCGAAGGGGATAGGATTGTTATGACCGCTGCTGTCAAAAGGCACGCCAAGTGTCGCACTAAAGGCTATGGTGTCGTAGCCGTCAGCATTACGCTTGGTGAGTAGTTCTGTCAGGACTGAAGTAACTGCTGCAACAAAGAGACAAAACACATTTCGACAGGGAAAGGTATTTGTCTTTTGGGTTTTGCATCATATCAACAGTTAATGTCATTTAAGGACGTGCCTCTACGTATGTTGTGTATATGCGTGCATGTGTATGTATTGTGGAGGTAGGTATGTTGATGTATTTGCCTCCTTGTACTGGAACTGTTCTCATGCCTAATTTATAGTGCTACCTCACTGAAATACCATGCCGACCGATTACATTATACTGAAAATTATTTATGGAGACGACTGTATTGGTAATGTGTGTGCTGGATGCACTATGTTGGTGTATTCGGCCTCCTCCACTCCCCAAAGATATCAAACTTCCACATGTAAATATTTTACGTCTGCATCATTAAAACAGTAGACGTTTAAATGGGATACTATTCCTTTTATTAGCCACACCTCTTATCTAAATGAAAATTGAAATCAAAGGGCCATACATATGCAGTGGTGTTTCCTGCTGGTCTTGCTGTAGTACCACTGAAAACATTTCTTACTAACTCTCCTTTTACACCTTCTACTCTTCATTGATGGAATAATCGGAAAGTTCGGTTTGATCCTTGTCCTTTATGATTTCATTCAAATCCTATATAACATCAACTATTTAGTTAATTCAACCTGTTTACGTTAAATTCAGAAATTGTAAACTTAATATTTTGCATACTAAGCTCAGACACTAGTGCAGTTCCCTTAATTACGACCCCTTCAGAGTTAACATGGTTGAGAGTGCAGCGTGTAGTTGTGTTCATCTTTGTGAGAATGTTTTTCATTACTTTTTGGAATGTTCCCTTTTTACAAACGAAAGACGCGCTCTGGTTAAAAACTAACTTGGATAATTTGGCAATTCACAATTTTACGTAGACCTTAACAAAAACACTTTATTCAATCCAGCAAGATATTTTGAGCTCAATTGTATTCACGATTGTATATACTTAATGTCATTATTGTAATGTCATTAAAATATATACTGGGAGAATGCGTTGATAATTTGTTATAACTTGTGCTAATCCCCTGTCTACTTTGTTTATACTTATTTAAACTTAATTAGAGCTAAATGGACGAAATAACCATGTAGTGCATTTAGATATTTTATTTTGACTGGCTATCAAGTCGACGTACTATCTTCTTCGTATTTTTAGTGGTTGTTTAAAATGAAATAATGCCAGCATAATGGAAGAGATCGGACACTGGGTAAAGGCATAGGATGATGAAAAGGTTTGGTTTGTGACATATATTCAATTATATCATATGAACTAAGATAACAACAAAAGACAAAAATGAGCATCGTAATTGAAATTATTTTAGAAAAAATCCATAATATGCTACACTGAGAAAGGTCTCCGATAGCATCGTTGTGATAAAACACGCTTTATTACTTACGTTATCATTAATCAACGGTATCAATGGACATGTTATGGTTGTTCGTTGGTTATGTATTACTGAACGACATATCAACAGTTAAGGCCGTTTATGCCGACATTTTTTGAAATTAAAAAAACAAACCTGGATTGTTGTGGTGGCGCCATTCCTTCTCTAACACCTCAATGCGTTGTTTCTGCTCAACGAGATCCCGTTGAAGTTCTAGCATATCAGGATCTGCAGATGACACCCAGGGCCCGATTATAATCAAACAAAGCACTAAATACAACTTCATCATGGACTGTTGATAGAGATCTGGTACAATGGATCGTGACGAACGTCTATTATAGTGATAACTGAAACTCAACACTGATAAGTATATAGGGCAAAGTACGTACTTTTAGGAACTTGCATTAAGAATGATTCGAAGATAGATAAGGATTTTTATTTTTATCATGATCATTATATTATAAAATCTGGCCTAGGCTTTATGCTTAAGCTCAAGCTGTATGCTCAAACGATGTTACTTAAAAGCTAAGGTAATTTAAGGCCTCCATGTGTGTTGTGTATACGTGTCTGTCAAGAAGTTACGTCGGTGTATTTGCCTCCATGAGATAGGGCGCATGTGATGCTGTCTTTATGGGGTTATTACATTGACAAAAACATGTCGAAGGCACCCAGCCCAGCATGCCACCCGGTCACATTATACTGACAACGGGTGTACCAGTTGTTGCGATTCCCCTAAATGCTGAGAGTTACCATTTTTAAGGACGTCGGTATGTCTCGCCCCGGGAACAGAACCCATTACTTCCTCACCTGGGCGAACGAGTGGTTTCGTCCTTGTCTTCAGGTTTAGGAGACATTGAAGAAACAACAAGAATATACCTGCTGTATAATGAGGCCCCATCTCTCCCTGCAGAATCGAGAGTTTCCTTCCGTGTTTGGTATGAAGGAAGGAAACATGGAAGGAAACATGGAAGAGCTGAACAATAAGTATTCTTAACCGAAAAATCTATCTTAAGAACTAGATAAGTTTCACATAATAAGAAGGCGATTTACGTTTTAGAGGGAATAGGGAACTTATTTCATACATGTTAATTAGGGAATAAGATCCATGGCAATTGATCCTTGACAACACCATCAAACTGTAATATATTACGTTTGTTTAGAATGAGTAAACAAATCACCCATACTTCTTACTTCCCTCCTTGATACTCCAGGGGTTACACTCACTTTTCCCCTCACTGCACCCCTGGAATATGTTATTGCAAAACCGAAGGCTCTGCGTGCACCAACTTGTGGAATAGACGAGTTTGATCCTTCGATGTATATCAGAAGAATATGTCGGTTGCGTAACGGTAAAATTGACTGGGTTTGGAGTCGGGTTTTACTTCTCTGTAATCTTCAAAGCACAGGTATCAGCGTAGCGGTTGGTCAGGGTTTTTCACCTTATACCAATCAAATAGCTTGCCGCGTGCCTTCAGTTTTGCTATGACATATTTCAGGAGTGCAGAGAGCAAAAGTGAGCGTAATCCCTTGATGATGTCGCGATATTATTATGACAGTTGACTTGACTGACTCGCTTAGTAAGTTGTTTTCATCGGTATAGAATCAAGAAACCGGTTATTTGACTCTTTGCTTAACAAAGAAAGCAGACGATTTCGAAAGCCTGCAAAATAATATTTCAATTACTGTTTTTGCTGATAACAAACTTAGCATATATCATTCATACCATTCGACTTATTTTAAGTGAGTTGGAATGACTTCATGACCTGATAAAAAGGACGTGTACAAAAAAGGTATGTTATAAAAAATATTTAAAAAATCCTGAGTAATGACAGGCATTACCTGAAGGTTTTTAATCAAAATTATACCTTGACATCATCTTCTAAAATGTCATTATATCTAATGGATGGTTGATGTTTTGTTCAGCTAAAAGCATTAAGACGCTATTCATTGCAAGTTATGAAATATTATATAAAGAAAACGTATTTGTTTAATTAAGCCTGAATCTTGTCAAAATTTCCAGGATATATTTTATTGTATAATGTTTCATAGGTAACCCGTTGACCTTTAATTACTTATAGTTGGTTGTGTTGTTGTTAGTTTTACCATAGTAATTTTCCCTGTACGTCAATAGAATCTACAATGGCACCCAAACATGTCACCATTGGTGCTCTTTCAGTGGGATAAACATGAACTGTAATATATATATATATATATCTGATTGGGAGGGTGTTTGGCTGGTTTTATACTTTATATGGTTTGATACACTGTTGTTGATGATAATGATGACAATGCTGCAAGATGAGTGTGTATGACGATGATTATGATTGTTGCAATATTTTGTTGGTGACGATAATGATAACAATGGCGTTAGAAGATTGTGTATGACGATGATGATAGCATGGCACCAAAAGGTGGCTGCCTCCAAGGTTGTCCTCTAGGTCCATTTTCAGTCAGTCTGTGTTAGTGGGGTAGGTATATAAGACATGTTAATAGACTCTGTTCCCGGTTCTCAATTCATATTTAAAAAAATTACTAATGTTAACATTACCCTAAAAGTCTTACGAAGATGAGACATCTAAGAAAACCTATAAAAATAGACATCGAATTTTCAAATGTGATTTTTTTGGTTGATATTTTTAATGGAGTGTGGTCATGGTAAGCCAGTTGATTTTTATATAATTGATTTAAAACATACAAAATACCTATTAATGGAATGCTTAGTGTCCCCACAATCATAATTTAAAACATCTACAAAAATCAATCCTGATTGTGTGAACTTATGACATCAAATATCGGGGTAGACGTCCTTTCTGCCTTTTCTTTTACAAACTTTAAAATAATAATACCGGTTTCTGAAGTGGTTTCGCATGAACATTAAATTTGTAAAGTTTGAATAAAATCCGTGCGTGGCCAGATTAAGAACCTTTAAATATGTTGTTACTTATTTAAAATAACAACAATACAGCACTAATTAACAGATTGAATTTCCCCTGATTATACAGCAATCCTCCAATATTAAAACATTAAAATTATTTGAAATTTGAAGAAATGATTGATACTTTACCTGTTGTTAAATTATTACGATAATGAAATAAATGATAAAGACTTGTGTGAACAAGAGAAGAAGGTGAAATGTCTCCACTCCTTTGACACCAAAGTGATATCAGATTTACAATCTTATTTATATATTTTAGTTGATACAATAAAAAGAACGGTTAAGGGGTTAAAAATATCCCCCAAAAGTTATCAACCAGTCATGTACGAGTATTTGCAATGTGTCATGATGACGGTTTTCGGAAGCACAATGTAAAACATCTACGAACTATCAATAGTGGCCACTGATCTATAAACTTACAAAGTTAAATATTTACCTCACGTACACAGTTATATATATAACAATTGTTTAATTAGCCATACCGATCATTACAGCGTCACGGTTCAAAGATCAGCGCCTCATTAAATAAACTCGTCAATAATTCATACTTAACGGCCCCTAATTAGTTGACATATCTTATATGTTCAAACAAACTTTCCTCAAAAATGTATATTTCTTTATCGTGTTTTTGTGAAGCTATTGTTAAGAATTCTCAATAGGCTATTTTGGCGCTCCTTATAAGTGAATGCCTATGGACTTGCTCTCTTGTTGTTTATATCTTTAATAACATCTCAGGTATATATCTGCCATCCTGGAGTAGTGCAAAACTAAAGAAACGTCATTGTGAATGCTACTGTGCCGTACACAGCAAGAAAAATTGCAGATATTAAACAACTCTGACCAGTGGTCAGTACATAATATTACTGGACAGAGAACTGGACTACCTCGTGTGGAACTGGATTGGTGGAGACCTTAGAGTGGTTTGCATTGTTTTTACAACAGATAAACCTGACTACTGCCTGAATTCAAACCGCAGCACAATTGAGCGTTTACAGGTTTTGTGACTTAATTTAGCAATCATGTCTGCGCAGTTTCTAAATGGAAACGTATCCATGGAGACGTGCGGCTGAGTATAAACCAGATTTAACAAGTTTAATCTTACAACGAGTACTGCAAACATAACATAGAGACAGGAATCAAATGTAAGTACAAACACTTCTGTAGAAACAAGAGTTTTGTAAGTCACACTGATTCTCTATCAATGTATATATGGCAAATGCTCGCCCTCCATAACGGATGCGTGTTTATTGTGACTGCTAGATAATATTCGCAGTCACAATAAATAATAACTGTAATATACAGTAATTCCATGTGAAGGCTGAAATTAACACTTGACGGATTTAAAATGTTTCAAGTAGAGGGCGAAAGATTAACTGAGCGTAAATTACCTATACACAGTATATACATTTTCTATAACATTGTTGTCATGAATTAAAATATACCAATATTAGTTCATCGAATATTTCCGTTCAACTTATTTAGCCAAATTGTTGAAGGTTCCCTGAAACCGTGCAAATACACTTTCCGTTTGCATTAATAAATGCCTGGTTGACAGCTTAATTTAATATTGTTTTGGCAGGTTGATAAATAATTGAATGGATATAAGTACCCCAGGTAAATATATCTCTTCTTAAGAATAATTAATTTCTCATTTATGCAACGTCGGAACAGGGCGCATGTGTTAACTACCTTTTGTTGGCCCTCAAGACCTCTTCTGTGCTTATAATTATATAACTAAGTATAATTCACTAACTAACGCAACGGATGAAGATAATTTTGTGTGAATCTGTTATGGAATTCTCAAAGAAACCACATAACATACATTCTTGGAGTAGTGCCAATTCAATAGCTTGTAACACAAACACTAATAATGTTAACAGTTTAATAGGACACTTGATGATATTTGCACTGTTTGTTTTTCTCCAATAGCATTATGTCGTTTCCATTGCTTTGCTGACAGAATGATCCCGTTAGAAGTCATCTCTGTTTTGATTGGTTTGATCGTGGTCCTGATCCAAACAGTGGTTGCTCCTCATGGTAAGTGCTACTAACTCATTCATCCCTACATATTAGAATTAGACCTGCCCTGATATTGATTTGGTAAAGTTCAAATGTGACTAGGGGTAAATGGGTTGACGAAAAAAGTTATTGTTTCCCATCGTTGTGAGTATTATTTACATTTTTATATAATACAATTTCTTCACGAAGTGAATACTTTTAGTATTAATCTGTTGGATCCTCATTTCGATACCTGTTATGCCTGATTGTCCACGTGGTTAGTATTGCTTAATCACGATTTCCATGATAGATGTGACTTTCTATTGACCAAACTTGCAGGACATGGATTCGGGAGATGAAGATTAATGGGCAAATGTCATGGTCGA